AGAGAGAGAGAGAGAGAGGAGNGGGGGGGGGGGGAGAGAACTTTCAAGTGAGAAACCATCACCATTTTGTTAAAAAAAGCATTCTATATTTCAACAGGCAAACATCTTTTCAATTTTAGTCAAACCATAAATCAATTCTAGCCAACAAAGATCAAAATGAATCCACTAACAAAAAGACTGCTTTTCAGTAAAAAAGAGATATTTCACATTGCAATATGCTCATGCGACCACAATTGAACCAAATAATCATAAGAAACCACAAACCTACTTTACAAATAACCATATGAACACTCACCAACATTCACTACACTACTCAAAGTCATTAAAAAATCAGTAAGCATAAAACAACTAAATAAATACTTAAAAAAGAAGAAGCAAAGAATCAGAAAAAGAAAAAAAAATAACGTACTCACTAAATATCAATAAGGAAATAAAGGACATGAAGGTAAGACCAGTAGCATGAACCAGAATCTAAGAAGCTCCAATTTCAAAGCCATAACACATGCCAAAACTTAAAAACATAGAAACAGTAGACAGAAAAATGGAAGAAAATGAAAAAAAAAAAAGGTGGGGGGAAATTCAACCTTCGAAAACCTCTAGCAGGGCAGCTACTCCTCCAAAACAAATCCTTTAACCATGAAACTGATATATACCCATCACCGCCCAATTCGATATCCAGCCATCAAATTAATAGATGAAAAGAATCAAAATTAGAACAGAAAGCAGAAGAGAGAGAGAGGGTACAGAGTAGAGAGATAATGTAGGGTTTCCATTAAAATTTATAGAGAGAGAAAAGTAAAATGGATTTGCAGTGTGCGACACGTATGGATAGCAGCGAGACAGCCGGCCGCATCTTCGTCTTCCCTTGTATTGCATTTGCAGCAGGTGGGTTAGTGAGCGGAAATCAAAAATAGAAAATGACCAAAGAATGCCCATTCCTTTTAGCAAAAAGACAAATTGATTTTGAAAAAGCTCGCTCTGCTTTTTGTAGGAGAGATTCGCTTTTGTCGCAGGTAAATATGGAATTTTATTGTGTCTTTTGGATTTTGGTCTGGGTAGATAGAGGAAAGTGTTGGATGGTCCCGCTGCAGTGGTCCTGCTCGACGCCACACGTGCTCCCCACACGAGGAGAACGGGGCGGCCTTACATTTTTGTTTTAATGAAAACAAATTTTTCCTGATAATTTCCCAGAGTTTGGTGTTTCTGTAAAACTGAGATTTGGGGTTATATCTGTTTTAATTCAGAATTTCATTTTTGTGAAAAGACTCTCTCTCTCTCTC